ATGAATGTTGTAGAATTCAGTCCTATTCAGAGAAGCCGTATCAAAAACACTGCTAGCATCAATAATTGAGTAAGACTCTTTTTCTATAAACAAATATTGGGCAGAATGGCCCTCTCTGACAGCAAAGTAAAGATGAAAAAGTAATTGGCCTAACTTCATCTCCTCTATACTCCAGGGACTGGCAAATTGGAGATTTACTTATCTGGAATTTTAATTCCTTCTTCAGGACAAAGTTAATCAAAGACCAAGAAACTCCTGATTAAACTGGATATGGAGTATTTTGTAGACAGGGCTGCACATTTTGTCTTTGTTAGATTTCTGCTTTCTCAGTTAACATCTCAGAGCTGAAACATTCCACATTCCCCAGCAGTGTGGGAGCCAACTCAAGTTTACAATTCTGACTAAAAATCACCCTGCTTCTAGCTTATCCAAATCCTCTGCCCCTCACTCCTATTTATTAAGCATCACACTACCCAGGAGATACACTAGCAAATTGTGCAACTGAATAAAACCCACACTTTTCATTTAGATTCTTGCAACTGTATCATATGTAATAGTATCACTTTTTCTACATTTTGGTCAAATAAATTTTTACATAAACTACAATTTGTGTGAATTTTAGAGTGTACGGGGACATACACAGCATTATGGTTTGACAAATGTAAATGGGATAGAAAGGAAAGATAACTGTACCAAGAACTCAGCAAATGTTTTATTTGCTGTCTACCATGACTACCTGATATAAGGATTATGATCTCTATATTACAGGTGAGAGTTCTTTGCCTTAGTAACTCAAAGCTCCTGTCCTTTGTTATCCCCAATCCTGCCTGAGCCAGACTAAAAGAATGAGGAAGATTTTAATAGACAAGATAGGAGCAGGAAAGATGGTCCCTATCACTTGAGTCAGGAAAGCACAAGGCCTGGCTGGGTAAGGTTCTCTCTGTGTGACATATAAAAAAGAAAGAAGTAGGAAAGCTGGAAGGTAGGCGGGGTCCACACTGATGAGAGCCTGAACTTAATTTGGTCCGGAGTGGAGAGCCACTGATCAATAATCAATAAATAAAAGAAATAAATTAGGAAAATCCACTTAGCATTCATTGTCAGGAAGGACTAGAGTGGGGTAGACTAGAGGCAGGAAGATCAGTTAGAAAGGTATTTCAGTTAATCCAGGACAGTGCTTGCCAGATTGGAATAAGAAGGAAGAAGTGATCTGAAGGAAAGTAATCTTTAGACTTGGCTTACTGGATGGCAGGAACTTAAAGAAGAAAGTGTCAAAGGTGACTGCAGTTTCACTACCTGAATTGCTTTGAGATTTGCCTTAAGATCTGATCTTGGGGGAGGGGGTTAGGGAATCAAAAAGAAATAAAAGCCTTTAAGACATGAATGCAGTACGCAAACAATTTTTGTGTTACCAAGTACAATTAAAAACATTTCCTTCATTTTAATTCAACATTTAGCTGACACTGTGAGCTTGTTTAGGTGGTAGAGGCAGGGAATGTCGATGAATAAAGTATAATGCCCTCCTCTAAGTGCCCTACCACTGCTAGATTGAAGTTCCTCCTCTCCCTCCTCCCCACCCGCTTGGGCTGTAATCTAATCTCAGTATACTGCTTTAGTCATCCTGGTGCCTCAGCACCTATTATAAGTATTTAATGTTTGTTAAACTGACACGTCTCAGCTCTTGGGTTGTTCCCAATCCCATGAAGTGTGGGTGGGACAAAAGGTGAGGTTAGGACCAGACTGTGAGGAATTTATCCTGCCAATAGACCATGGATGGATATTGGATAAATGTTTTAGACTAAGCTCACTGCAGGGTGGAATCCTGACTAGAGAACGATCAGGGAGAGCAGTGGAGAGATGTGATGATCTGACAAGCAAAAGAAATAGAAGAGCAAGGGGCTTCCCTGGTGGCGCAGTGGTTGAGAATCCGCCTGCCAAGGCAGGGGACACGGGTTCGATCCCTGGTCCGGGAAGATCTCACACGCCACAGAGCCCACGTGCCACAACTACTGAGCCCACGTGCTACAACTACTGAGCCCATGTGCCGCAACTACTGAGCCTGCGCTCTAGAGCCCACGAGCCACAACTACTGAAGCCCGCGTGCCTAGAGCCCGTGCTCCACAACAAGAGAAGCCACTGCAGTGAGAAGCCCATGCACCTCAAGGAAGAGTAGCCAGCCCCTGCTCGCTGCAACTAGAGAAAGCCCGTGCAGCAACAAAGACCCAATACAGCCGAAAATAAAATTAATTAATTTAAAAAAAAATAGAAAAGCAAGGTTTAAGAGCTATTTAGAACATCCTTAAAAACGAGGCTGTGAGGGATGAAAGAAAAGTATGGTGGCTTAGGTCTCAGAAAAGTAATTCACGACAAGCTAGTGTGAGTACAAGATGACAAGTTCAGTTGTGGACATGATGAGTTTGAAGTATCTTTGACAGACCCAAAGGTAAATGCCCAGGAACTAGTTGGGACATGGAGGGATGGCTGGGCTATGGGTTCTCTAAGAACTGAGAATCACCAGTACGGAGACAGCAGGAGCCAAGAAGTGAATAAGATCACCCAGGAAGCAAGCACAGACATAGAAAGAACCATGAGGAACACCAAGCAACACCCCCCCACACACACAAAAGACTGCAATGGAATCTGAGAAGCAGCACCCAGAGAAGGGGAGGTATAGGTCATAAAAGAAACAGGCAAATAAAATGGGAAGTGTACCAAGAAAAGGAGAACTGCCAGAGAAGGTGGTCAAGAGTATCAAATGCCACAGAGGCTGAAGCCAACCAAGTGGTCTATGGCTCTGGTTGAAGCTCTTCCTAACCGGAGCCAAATGAGCAGAAGAATGTGCTGCAGTTGGAGGCAGGAGAGGCAGGGGCCATCTTTTATAAGATCCTTGGGCAAGTCTCCAGGACTGACCCCAGAGGGACACATAGCGGTGACGCCACGCAGGTAGTGTGTGGCCCCGTCTCTACGATGCAGGAAACCAACATGATCAAGACTTCAGCCTCTGAAGCTGGTCACTTTGAGTTCAAAAACCAACTTGCCTGGGAAAGTCACTTAACCTATTTGGCCCCGGTTTTCTCACCATAAAACGGGGGGCGGGGGGGGAGGACAATAATACCTACCTCAGTGGGTCGGAGTGGGAATAAACTATTTCATGTATTTTTTCTAAGTGCTAACAACACTGACAGGCACAGAACCAACGCTCGTAAGTATTCCCTATAATTCTCACTGTGCTAACTACCTCGGCAGGTTCCGAGGCCCCCGAGGCGCGCCTGAAAGGGCTGAGGCGGACGAGGCTCTGGGGTAAGACCCGAACAACCTCTAAATAGGTTCGAGGGCCCTCCAGGGGAGTCCTGCGAGCCTCAGTACATAGCTTGGTGGCTGGAGCCTGGCTATCTCTAGGTAGGTCCCCTGGTCAGCGCCGAGGTCCCGCAGCACGTCTCGAGGGGACCTCGCTTCGACTATGACGGCGCCCCTATTCTCCTTTTCTCTTTGATTCCCCCTGGCCGGACGCGGAGACCTCTAGACTACCAACACTGCCGCACCGCCTTCCCGCGCTCGTCCCGGTGCCAACTGAGGCTGCGCGGGCCTGGAAGGGCGGGAGCCACAGACCCCACGCGCGTGCGCCCTCTGCTGGCGCCCAACGGTCTTCCCGGCGCGTGTGCGTACGCGCCCCAGACCCCGCCCCCGGGTTGAGGGATCGCGGAGCCGTTGGCCAAGCTCCCCGCCCTCCCCCTCCCATCGGGGGGCGGGGCCGCTCCAGAGTGGAGGGCAGAAGGAGGGGACACGGGCTGCCACGCCTCTGCCCTGTCCCCATTTGAAGCCCCTCGACTCCTCACCGCTGGCCAATCGCAGTCCGCCCTGTCCTGAGCGCCGGCCAATGAGCGGCACGCTCGGGCCGCTTCCGGCTCCGTGCCCAGCTCGCCCCTTCCCCACGTCTTCCCGAGACAGGCGGGGCGCGGGGGCGGGCGTCGGCCGCGGTGACGCGCGTCGGGCCGGGAGCCAATGGGGAGGTGGGATCGGCGCTGATGGACGGGCCCAGGGGCCAGTGGCGAGGCGCTGGCAGCACTTCCCGTCTGGGAGAGAGTGTAATATGGCGAAGACCTACGATTACCTGTTCAAGCTGCTGCTGATCGGGGACTCGGGGGTGGGGAAGACCTGTGTCCTGTTCCGCTTCTCCGAGGACGCCTTCAACTCCACTTTCATCTCCACCATAGGTAGCAGGGCCGGGGAGCGGCCGGGGGCGCGGGAGGCCCGGGCCGGGCGCGCCCCTGAGGGGCTGGGGCTGAGGGAGCGGCCGGGCCGGATGGGGAAAAGAGCAGAGGGTCGAGGGAGCTAGAGGGGAAAAGAGCAGTCGCCTGCGCCGCCGTTTGGAGGTTCCCGGGCCATGGGCGGGGTGGGCACCAGGTGCCCATTTCGCAGATGGGGAGACTGAGGCACCAACCCTCAGCCTGCTCAGGGAGTGTATGGCTTGGACGAGGTCTTGGCGCCCGTCATTTTGTTCTGTCCTCGCAGCATATCTTGAAGCAGTCCTGTGGGGTCTTCGTCTTACAGAAGTGGAAACTGAGGCACGGAGAGTTGTCCATGGGGAAAGGACAGTGACAAGTGACATCTGATCTTACTGAGCATTTACTGTGTGCCAGGCGCTTTATATGCATTACCACACTTTCCAGTCCTCTGTGTCAGGTGCTGTTATGAGTTCGTTTCACAGTGGAGGAATTTGAGGCTCAGGGAGGATACTGGACTTGCCCAAGGTCACTCGGTCTACAGGTGGCAAGGATGGTATTTGTACCTGGGTGTGTCTGACCCAGAACTCAAGGCTCAACCATCCCAGAGAGATGCGAGCACAGCTGATCCACTTTGAAGCCAGGACTCCAACGCAGACCTCTCCTGCTCTTTACTCTGGAATGTTCAGGGGTTGAGCCCCTCTCCCTGACCCTGTTTCCCCCATGAATGAATTTCTTCTGGAAGGAATGGTGAGAGGGAGTCCAGACACTGCCCCTGCGCGGACTTCCATCTCACTCGAGGGTGACAGAAATGGCTAGTGACAGCCGCCTGCCCTGGGACCTGTCATCTGGAGGAGATGCCAGATAAAAGCTTCCGTGAGAAACCAAAATCAGCAGCTGCCACAGACAGCCCTGACTTCCCTATCACTAGGCCCAGGACACCGGTTGTCACTTTGCAGAGCAGGCTTTCCTGCAGGGCCAGCCCACATTGTGGTTGAGCAGAATTGGCTTGTTGCTTCCCAGTTCTGATATCCACAAAAGTGGGGCTGACTTCTTCCCACACCACAAAAACAGCCATTGCCCACATGGAAAGTTTGACCTGGAAGTAACACCCATCAAGCAGAGTGGCCTGTAAGCTACGCAGTCTTGCTCTGGAGCGGGGAAGCAGGAGAATGGTCCCCAAGCCCAGGAGCTGGAAAAAACCTAGGGAATGGGCTTTGCTTTACCCCTGTGTACCTTTTCTTCCTAAACCCCACAATTAGCTGCTGATTCCATCCTTGCCATCCTCCAGGAGCTGCACTTTGCAAGACACTTAGCTGCCAGATGTAAAGAGAATTGGACTGGAAATCATCATGCCTGGGTTCCAGCTGCTGTTTGCCCTTGAACAAGCACTTCGCCTCTCCGAGCCCTGTTTCTACAGCTTAGGAGTGGTATTCTTTGCTTTGGCCATCGCCTGGATGGTGGAGGATCAGAACTGTACAATGAATAGGGGGTTGTCACCACCGCCAGAGACCATGGAGAGGAAGCAGAATGTCTCTTGTAGTGACCGCATCCTTCCGCTAGGCACATGTCTTTCTGATTCCTCCCCTTCCCTAACTCCAAAGTCAAACTTTGGGATAGCCCATGCGTCCCCACCAATCAGGAAGTGATATTAACTCCTGGTAGACTATGGCTTGCTCTCAACCCAGACCTGCTTCCCAGAGTCGGAACGTTCCTAGTGAGATCAGTTCGGGGGTTGAGTGGTTTGTCTGTTTTTTAATTCTTGACCAGAAAACCCAGTCTAGTCCTTTAGGGCTCTGAGGAGGCCAGCCTCCACTTGGAGATGAGGACATAACTTGGGCAAGGTGGTCTAAGGAGGTGGGCGTGGCACTTGAACCCAGGTTCCCTCCCACCCACCCCGGGATTCTCATTACATTTGTAGCCTTCCTGCAGGCCTCTGTCTTCTAGGAAAGTTTAATTCCCCCTGACCTTGAAGTTATGGCCTCATGACTCTTAGGCCTCGTAAAGTTTACACTTCCTAATTAAATTTGGTGTGTTAATAAAACCCAGGAGGAAGATAGATTTGGGTTCTGTGGACTGAACAGTGCTTCTTGATTTCATATGTCCTGTGCATCTGTGAGAGGAGCGGGGTATGTTTTAGGAAGAGTTAACACTGGGTGGCTTAGTCCTGAAATACATCATGATGCATAGAGGTGATTCTATATTGGCACTGAGTGTATCTCTGTATTTTCTGTATGGATCAAGGATTAAGTGGCTGTTCACTGTCTGCCCAGGTTATATTTTGCCGAAGCCTATTCTCATAAGCTCCGTCAGTCGATCATTTGTGGTGTGAACTTGGCCCTGTGGCTCCTGGAATTGGCTCTCCCCAGCCTGGCTCAGCCCCCAGCTCCTCCTCAGGGCCCCATTCATTCATTCCTTCAGAGAAGTGGTTGACGCACGTGAAAGTGCTTACTTGGTAAACTGTGCGGCACCACGTAGATCCCGTCGCTCTTTATTTTTTTATCCAGCCATCCTTCCCCAGTGCCTGCTGTGCACCAGATCCGCCTCGGTGCAGGGGTTGCAGAGATGACTGGGATGAGTCAGAGGGAAGCAGAACTGTAACAAGGCCAGTAGTCAAAGTGTGTGTGCAGGACGAGATGATCGGCTTCTAGTAAATACGTACTCAGCCCTTGCCATGCATTCATGGAGATGCAACCATGAATAAGACGTGTGAGTCCCTGCCCTCCTGGAGCTTATGTTCTAGGAGACAAAACTCAAATACAGGCTTATATTCCCTGTGGTCCCCAGGACAGCTCCTGAGGCGGGCAGGAATGGAATTAGCATCCCCATGCCATGTTCTGAGGGGGTCAGGCCAGGCCTCAGTCTCAAAGCTTCACAGGCGGAGATTTAGAACCAACTCCTGGGGGCAAAGGCTGGATTTGGCTGTTACCCCTCCACGCAGGCCATTCCAATTGGCAAGTTTTGCTCGCATTTGCATGGAGCAAATATACGTCAGGGACAGTGCGTGAAGAAGACGCAGCCCGTGAGGGGAGAGAGGATGGTTAGGAAGGCTCCCCTGAGGAGGTGACTTGAACAGAGACCTGAGTGAAGGGAGAGGGGAGCCAGATGGCTATGGAATGAAAGAACATTCCAGGAGGGGAAAGAGCAAGCGTAAAAGCCTGAGGCTGGAACACGCTTGGGCATTGTGGCCGGAGAGGAGGGCAAGAGCCATGGGTGCTGAGGTGACCGGGTTAGGAGCACTCAGGCAACCGTTTCTACTTTATTCTGGGGCCCAGGAGGCGGTGGAAAGGTTTTTAACCGTTTAACCGTTTTATTGTCGGGAATTCCCAGGTGGCCTTGTGGTTCGGATTCTGTGCTTTCACTGCTGTGGCCCGGGTTCAGTCCCTGGTCGGGGAACTAAGATCCCACAAGCCACGTGGTGCAGCCAAAAAAAAAATTACAAAAAAAAAACCCAAAACAGTTTTATTGACGTATAATTCAACTCACCCATTTAAAGTGTACAAGTCAGTGGCTTCAGGTATATTCACAGAGTTGTGCAACCATCACCACAGTCAGTTCTAGAGCATTTTCATTATGACAGAAAGACACTCCACACCCCTTGGTCAACCTCATTAATCTCCTCACATCCGCACCCCAGCAACCACTAATCTCTTTTCTGTCTCTCTGGATTTGCCATTCTGGATATTTCATATGAACAGAATTACATACTGTGTGACCTTTCACGTCTGGCTTCTCTCACTCAGCATTATATTTTCAAGATTCATCCACGTTGTAGCATGTGTCAATGCTTCATCCCTTTTTATGGCTGAGTAATATTCCACTGTAGGGAGAGACCACATTTTGTTTATTCATTCATCTGTTGGTGAACACACTGGAAGGTTTGGAGCAGAGCTTAGCTTGGTGACATGGTTGAGTGTGTGTTTTGGAAGCTGGGGAGGGGATTGAGAGGACAACGGTGGGAGCCTGGAGAGCAGCCGAGGAGGCTGAGAGCACCCTGGTCCTGGGGAAAGGGGACTAAAGCCAGGTGGTGGGAAAGAAGGAGGGCAGGGTCAGGAAGGCTTCTTGGGAGGTGACCTTCCAGCAGGTCTTAAAGGAAGAGAAGTTTGACAGGCTGACAGGCGGGCAGGGTAGGGACCACCCACAGAGAAGGAACAGCATGTGTAAATGCTAGAGGCCCAGCTGCATCAGGTACATCTTGGGGCCCAGCGTCCCGTGTGCTTGGCAGGCCGGGAGCAGGTGGCTGGAAGCGTGGGCCTCTGGCCCGAAAAGGGCTGTGGAGCCTACTTCACGAGGCTGCCTCCCGGGAAAGGGAGAACACGGCTTTGGCACCTGAGCTACCTGGGTTTGCCCGCCAGCCCCGCCCCTCACCAGCTTCACTCTGTGCAGCTCCTTTCTGCCCTCTGAGCCTCAGCCTCCCCTTCTGTGAGAGGAGAAGGTTCGCCGGGTGTCTCCAGATTTGTTTGCGGGATTCAGAGATTCCCGCGTGCCCAGCAGGTGCTCCAGAAACCATGGCAGCTGTTACCTGCACAGGTTGTCAGCATCCGTCCTAGACACAGCTTGGGAAATGGACTGACACTGATGTGCTTTTTTTTTTTCTTTTCTTTCAGGAATTGACTTTAAAATTAGGACCATAGAGCTTGATGGCAAGAGAATTAAACTACAGATATGGTAAGAGTCGTTTCCTTCATCAGCCCCTCACCCAGCGAGTGCTTTGAGCCCGAAGCCCCTGGTGCCCCGTCCCCTTCCCTATGACCACGGCCTCCATCTCTCTGTGCCCAGCCCGGACACATCGGCCTTTCTTCAGAGGCCCCAGGAACGGTGCTCTGCTTTCTGCTGGGGCTTAGAGTCTGTGTCAGCCCCTTCTGAGGACATAGCTACCAGTCCCAGTTCCGATGTGGGCACAGTCTGGGCCTGGGCTTCAGAGCCACCTGCTCCCAGTGAACTTGGAGAGAGCCCTCCTGGTGGCGGTGAAGGCTGCCAGGGTAGCAAAGATACCACAGCCCGGCATTTCCTTCCAAGCCTGTCAGCTCGCTGAAGAAGGCCTGACATCGCTTCCTCTTTGGTCTCCTGGGGACGCCCAGGCCTCACTTCCTAATACAGAGACCTGAAATCCCAGAACTGAAAATAAGCTGAGGCTAGGCCCAACAGTGAGGCCCGTTTCTGTTCTGCTCACCTGGGGCTGACTTCCCGCGCTACATAAGATCAGGGAGTTTGTGAGGCCCTGTCACGGATGGTGACTGGTCTACAGCCCACTGCGCTAGGAAGGCTGGGCTCAGATGGTCAGAGGGTGGGAGAGTCCTACCCTACAGCCACATCACTTGCAGGGAAGAACGAACCCTGAGCAAAAGAGAGAAGTCACATTTGGGAGAGTGGCTCAGTCCTTCCAGTCCAGGCACGTGCCTGTGGGTGGGAGGGGTGCCGTGAGATGGACTGTGAAGCCTCCCTCCCAGCAGCTTGTCTCCCCAACTCAAGTCTCAGAGCCTGGACACAGCCCCGCCTGCCCAGCAGGTCCCCTTGACTTCAGTTGTATCTGCCTCTGAACCTGGCTTCAGAATCGAAATCTGGGTGTGGCCTAACCAATCTCACTGAGCTCCGGTGGCAGCAGCCAGTCTCTGGCCGCCTCGGAAGTTACAGGGCCGTAGAAGTTCCTCTATTTACAACACGTTGGCTCCCCAGCAGTCTCAGTGCCCAAGTCCAAAGTGACACTATACCAGCAAGCAGAAGTTTTTATTTCTTTTCCTCCTGTCCTCGTGCTTCTGCTCTTAGCAGTCGCAGTGGGGTTAATGACTCTCTTAAAATTCTTCTAGAACAGTCATAAAGTAACTGATCATAACCGCTAACATCACCTGCTATTGGCGGTAGAAAGTCAACTTAGCCTCAAATGAGGTGTGTCTGTACAGTCCAGACGTGCAGAGCCCTGCAAAGGGGGAGGTGCAGGGTCAGAGGAGGAACCCTGGGCCTAGCGACAGAAGACGTGGTCTTGCCCTGGCTCTGCCACTGACCAGTTGTCACCTTTAAACCAAACAATACCCTCCATGCCAGGAGCTGGGCTAGGCACGGGTGCGTCTTACCCAGGTATCTCCACCGTACCCACGAGGAAGGACTTTCCCCCAACCTCCACCAGGATGGTGAGCGTGGAAGTGCTTCCTAAGCCCCGCTGAGCTCGACCAGCTCAGTCCACCAGCAAAGGCTGTGTTCCTGTGCCATGTGACCAGCCTCTTCCACATACAAGGCTCCAGATTTTCACAAATAATAACATCCAACCTTGGCTCTTCTGTGGCCCAGAAACTCTGGGGAAAATCCCCAGGATGACAAGATGTAGCAGAGGAGTCACTCTACCACATCCCCAGCCAGGAGACATCAGACACCTGCCCAAGCCACAGTTTCCTTCTCTGTAACAATGGGGGGCTGCCCCACAGCAGGATGATGAATCAGGAGATGACCCATGCGAAAGCTGGGCGTCCATACTGGGTAAATGCCCCTCATTCTCACTGTGACGATTGTTCTCTTTCTGTGTCGCTAATATCCCTTTTTCTCCTCATCGTTAGGGACACAGCTGGTCAGGAACGGTTTCGGACGATCACAACGGCCTACTACAGAGGCGCCATGGTATGGATTGGTTTGGCGTTGGGGGGGTTGTCTTTTTTTTTTTTTTTTTTTTTACCTAAGTAGACTTACTGGTAGACTCCCAATTAACAAGCACATGTATGTGTAAGCTGTGCAGGCAGGGGGAGGAAAATGAAGGAGGAGGAATCGGGAATGACTCTTTGCTTCTGAAATAGAAAATACAGGTGGATGAGGAGGTTTTGGAGGAAAAAAAATGCTGCTTTTGATTCTGGACATCTTGCGTTCAAGTGGTCCACGTGACCAGTGAGCTGGCGCGTGGCATAGACACTGGAGCTCAGGACAAGCAACTGGGTTGGAATTCATATTTGAGGATCACCGGTTGGTGTAGATTTGTATCCAGAAGTTAAGTGAAACCATGGAAAAGGGTGGAATCCCTCAGAATCATAAGTGACATCATGAGCAATGAAGAGGCAGAGGACGGAACACCTGTGTTTAAGTTGCCAACTGAAGAATGTTGCCTGCCATCCAGGTCTACAGGATTGAGTCATTCGCCACTGTAGCTGCTGACCTTCAACACAGCCTGAAAGGAGTTCAGGGTGGAGATCAGGAATGGGGTGCTCCGTGCTCTGGGAGAACTTGTGGAACAGACTTTCCGATAGATATTTTTGGGAGAAATTTTGAAGCTGGATTCTTGCATCTTCCCATACTTTGAAAAGCACCAAAACCACTGACTAAGACATCTGCGCCTCCTGATTGGCAGAAACCTTCTACCGAGATGTGTGCTTGGTTGCACGTACCCCCTTCGCCAAAATCACGTACATACTGACCTCCCCCCTTATCTCTTCAGAACAGTTTCTCAGAGCCACCTGAGAGGCCGTTTCCCAAGCTATCGTCCTCAGTAAGATGCTGAATAAACCCGACTTGCAGCTTTTATATTTTTTTTTTTTTTTTTTTTTTTTAAGTCAAAATGAACATCAGTGCCTTGGATACCAAAATCTGGATGTTTCTGAGGAGCCCGTGCTCTGGCTTCTCAGGGGTCCTTGGTCCCAGGTTAGTTTTAGGAAAAGGCTGTGTGCCCCGCCTCTGCCCCCTCGTCCTCCATACCTCCCCTTCTGGCTCCAGAAACAATGCAGGGTTCAAGGAAACCTAATTCTCCGGGAATGAAGAAAGACACAGGAAGCCGGTTCTTCCAGGTGAGGTCAGAGAAATCAGAGCCAGCATGCCCCAACACTTAGGAGCGCTCACGTGGCCCGTGCCAGACTCTGTGGAACTTGCTACTGAAAATTTAAAAGATCATCCAGAAGCTGACTTGCTCAGGGCTGTTGGCTGTTAACATCTGTTGCCTGCGCCTGAGGTGGGGTCATGTGATAGGAAGACTCGTTCATCATCCCTCAAGTTATTTTTTTTTATAAATTTATTTATTTTGTTTATTTATTTTTGGCTATGTTGGGTCTTTGTTGCTGCGCATGGGCTTTCTCTAGTTGTGGCGAGCAGGGGCTACTCTTTGTTGTGGTGCACAGGCTTCTCACTGTGGTGGCTTCTCTTGCTGAGCACAGGCTCTAGGTGCGCGGGCTTCAGTAGTTGTGGCTCATGGGCTCATTAGTTGTGGCTCTTGGGCTCTAGAGCGCAGGCTTAGTTGCTCCGCAGCATGTGGGATCTCCCCAGACCAGGGCTCGAACCCGTGTCCCCTGCACTGGCAGGCGGATTCTTAACCACTGCGCCACCAGGGAAGCCCATCCCTCAAATATTTTTACCGAGCACCTTCTCCAGGCCAGGCCCGAACTAGATGCAGAGGGCAACCTGGATTGGGCCAGGGTCCTGACCTCGAGAGCCCTGAGCTGGTCATGCACCTGCGAGGGGTAGACAAAGCGGGGTGCTTGGGGGCCACGGGGAGTGGGAGGCAGATCCTCAGGACCTTGTTCAGCCCCCTGGGTCACCCTCTGAGCTCAGTCTCCTTACTTGGAAAGTGGAACAGAGAACAGGAGTATGCTCCAGGCAGCTGTGAGGATAGATGGCCAGCTCCCCATTTCCAGCTCCCACTACACTCCATCCTTTCCATGATGCACCCCATCAATCAGCCTTAGACCCGTTTCCTCCACTAGGCCATAAGCTCCAGGAGGACTGGGCCATCTCTTGGTCCCTGCCACATGCACGGTGCCTGGGACCATGCTGAATATACGGTAGGAGCTCAGGAAATACTGATGGACAGCAGAAATGAATAGAGGCATTAAGTATTTAGAGCATCCCACACAGCGTCTGAACATAATAGAAACTCAATCATGTGGGTTGCAACCTTAGTGCTCCTCATTAAAATTAATTTACTAATTTTCCCCTCACCTTGCTTTGCTCTGGTGGGGCGGGGGGCCTTGGGGCACTGGGGTCCTGGGGGAGCTTCTGCTGTATGGTCTCAGGTAGGCCCCATCCCTCTCTGGGTTGAAATAGCACCCCCTGCCCCATTCACCAAGCCCTTCCCTCCAGCAGGCAGTGGCCCCAGGTCTTGGCCATAAACCTCTGAGTGTGGGTGCCATATTATCCCCATTTTACAGATGAGGAGGCTGAGGCTTGGCACCATTCCAGGCCCTGCTTAAATTCACACAGAGGGTAAATGTCTGGGCTGGTAGTGGCTGGCCCTTTCCAGCCCCCACATCTCAGCCAGGCCCTGACGAGGCTGGACTGAGCCATCTGTAAAACCTTGTCCAGCCCCAAGATGATTGTATCCTCCTAGACCAGCACTAACCTGTACAGAAGGCTCTGGCTGTGTGTGGCTGTTTGAATCTAAATCAGTAAAAGTAGGACATCCAGCCCCTCGGTCGCACTGGCTGCGTTTCAGGTGCCCCGGAGCCATGTGCAGCCAGTGGAGACCATATAGGACAGCACAGAGAACATGGGCAACGTTGCAACCTCGTCGTCATCTTTGTGGCAGTGGACCCTTGGGTCCCAGATTTGGGGAGCATCGGATGTCTGGTGTCTTGTTGTGAGCTTGCAAACAGATATGGGGAGCTGTGCCCAGACTGGGGCCAGGAAGCCCCGAGAGCTCCCTTGGAGCCCCGAGGGGAGCTTCACGGAGAACCTGGAATAGGGTGACACTATGTTTTCCAGGGACTTCTGCTCTTTCCTGATAGAGAGCTCTATTCACTGACCCCGACACCGCATAGGTAAAAATCTGGGACCTTGGAATCTTGCATACATGGTGCCAGCCTAGTGGCGGTGGTGGCAGAATCCTGGGCCATCAAAAGAGCTGGTCCCTGGATAAAGGGGCAAAAAGCCCTCAGAGCCCTGTGGCATTTCTTGCCCCTGACAGTGGGAGGCCAGCTGCTGCGCAGAGGCCCCAGTGATGCTCGACTCACAGAGTCCATCCACCAGTGTCTTTATTCACTCTGGCTTTGGCTGGAGCATGTCACACATCACGGCCACTAAAACTCCTCCAAGTCCTCCCGTCAGCAGTCTCTATTCAGTCTCCCCAAGAGACCCCTGAATGAGGGTTCCCAGATGGCATTTTTGAGGGGTTGTGGCTGTAGCAGGCTCTGAGGCTGCTGTGCGTATCCCCAAGGTCACAGCGGGGATTTGGAATTGCAGCGGCTCGCTTGCCCTGTCTGTGTGGTTTTGTCACACACCCTCGCCCCTGCGGTTATCTGCCCAGCACACAGGGCCGGGGTTCTCACTCTGCAAATTCAGGCAGCCTCAGAGACGTTTTGGCCAGCACCAGAGCTTGTGGATGGAGGGCTAGGCCCTTGGAGTGGGTCAAGTGAAGGAATGGAGTGAGCTGGGCCTGGGCAGCACAGCCGGGGCCTTGGAACCCCTTGGCACCGGGGCTGGCGCTAGTATTGCTGCAGGCTGGCTCACCACGCGTGCACTGTGAGGATGTCCAGGGCAACACGGGGACTGACGCAGGGTGGCCCTGAGCGTTGCTTGATCCTGATGAGGACCCAGGGAGATTCCTAACGGGAGCCAGTGTCATCAGCTCCTTTAGAGCTGGGCTAGAATCTTAAAGGTCACCTCTTTCTGCACCTCAGTTTCCCCTTTTATCAAGTGGGGATATTTGCCTTTCTCCTCGGCAGTGGCGAGATTGTGGGCTCAAGCAGAGACGGGTTCACTTTGCAGCTATTTCAGAAACCATGGACCGTCTCCCAGCTGCTCACGCATTGGTTATGGAATCACAGAGGCCTCAGCATTGCCTGCCCCAGTGCTTGAAGCCAGCCCCGACTCCGGTGGGGTTGTTGGAAGGCACGTGGTTATTAGGGTCTTTCCCCCCGGGCTTAGACCCCAGTTGTGTCCTTTACTCTCTGTCGTGTGACTGGGGACAGGGACCTAGCCCCCCACCCCCCAGCCTCAGGTTCCCCATTCTCACAGTGCAGACAGTGGGACCACCCGACCCAAGCCTGTGAGACTCAGGGAGACCCAGTTGCAGTACCTGGCTCATGGTAGGCACCAGATGAGGGGTGAAGCTGGGGCGACCAGTGGAGGCGGCCCTGGCTGAGCCCAGGAGATGACTCAGGGCAGGGTGTGGGGTGAGTGAGGGTGTGGAAGAGGCTGAGCATAGCCAAGGGTTGGCAAGAGGGGGAGCCCGGTGGGCATCAGGGCCATGGAATACAGCCTGTAGAGCAGGGGGCTGCAGGATGCGAGGCTGAGAGGTTGGCCACTGGGACCTCGCTGGCTGCCAAGACACACGGGCCGTACTTATCCTGCCAGTAGTGGGGAAACAGCAGGGCTCCTTTGTAAGCACAGGTATGGTAGGGTCTGGTCTGCAGGGTGAAGGGTCATATCAGTGGCCAAGGAGCAGGGGACTGGAGCCTGGGACACCAGAGAGAGGCTAGTGGTAGAGCCCAGCAGAATGAAGGGTCCCAGGGATGGTGTCCTGTCGGGGTCCCTGCTGCCCACCTTGCTGGGGCCTACCCCTCAGAGTGCTCGCAGCTTGTCCAGAGCGTGTGTCTCTGTCTCCCTCTGCTTATTAGGGCATCATGCTGGTCTACGACATCACCAACGAGAAGTCCTTCGACAACATCCGGAACTGGATTCGGAACATTGAGGAGGTAAGGCTTGGGGACCCCTCCCATGCACAGGACCCCCCACACATCCTCTCCTCAGCCCTCACCCCAGAGCTTCCTGGTTTACACATGAGATCACTGAGCCCAGAGGCACCTAGAAGTAACTCGCTGGGAACAGAGTCAGGGAGACGGGAACCCACGCAGTCAACCCTGGAGAACACGCTGGCCTGGCCTCATCACAGAGCAACCCTGAGAGCCCATTTCCCCAGTCGGGCTGTCAGGTTTGAACGACATCGAGGTGAAGGAAGAATGATATCCAGTCACTGTGAGCATTTGGTGCTTTCTAGAGAAGGAAGGTTCTAGAGTCAGCATGACCTTTGTTTCTGGTGGGTGTGGTGAGGGCATGTGTCAGGTTGGACTTTGAACTGCAATGGAGCAGGGTTTGAGCTGGTATGAGCTCTCTGTGCCCGTGCTCAGGCCAGCAGCAGCAGCTGCCTATGGAAGGAGACCTTGAACCCCGAGGGAAGAGAAGGCGGCCAGCGCCGCCTCCCTGTCCCAAAGCCAGTGTCGTCACCTCCCCGCTCTCCACAGAGCTTACCGTCACCCTCAGAGCCTCCCTGGACAAGGTGCTTGTGGCTTGTGATGACTCACCAGGTGGGGTTCGGGTCTGAGAACTTTACCCACCCATGAAGACACGGCAGAAGGTCACATCCCAGCTGGCACCTGTGAGCAGTTGCACTGGGCCACCTCCTGATGACCCCGTATTTCCTGGCAGGAGGCTGCACCTGGCCTGAGGAGGGGGTCCTCACACTGGTCTCTGTGGAACTTTTTTGTTCTGGCCGGTAGGCGAGAGAGCCTTCCAGTTAGTAGAAAGTTAGGGAGCAGAGAGGAGCGCATTTCCCTGAGACCAGATCTGAGCTGCAGCAAGAAGGGCCTTTCTGATGGTCCAGTCCTTCAGGAAGCAAGGCCCACTGGGTTGGAATGTGGGGGCGGGTTGGAGGAAGGAACCGTTTTCAGGCATGAAGGCCGAGTTAAGGGAACGCCAGGGGATGGCAAAGCACAAAGGGCTGGTGGCAGCCGAGGTCTGTGCCCACCCCCGGCACAGCCTATTTCTGGAGCCCAGAACAGGGGCTCTGGAGCAGGGCACAAGGTCCCAGGACAGCAGCTGGGGTCTCCAGCAGAGGAGCCGGGGAAGGAGGGAGGCAAGCAGAGGTCAGTACTGCAGCCCCACTTGCCTCCCATAGGCCAGACCTGGCCGGGAGTCCAAGGACAGCCATGGTAGCCTAGTTGGCGTGGCCCATAGAGAAGCTGTCCTTGGCAGCCAGAAGGCGTGTGCTTGGTCAGGGTAGCAGCCAGAGCCCTGAACTCTGTCCTGGCACTGGCTCAGTGACATAGGACGGGCCTCTCAGCCCCTCTGAGCTTCAGTTTGTCATCTGTGCAGGGTGTGCCTAGCAGTCCTGACACCATCACTCTGATCTTGGGGATGGGCTACCAGTTGGTTGGTAGTCCGGTCTGACCCTACCTCTCACCTCCACCATCTGCCCCTCCCCTCCAGCACGCCTCTGCAGATGTCGAAAAGATGATACTTGGGAACAAGTGCGACGTGAATGACAAGAGACAAGTTTCCAAGGAACGGGGAGAAAAGGTAGGCATGGTGGCCGGCTTGGGCCTGGCACTACCAGACACCTCGGGGCAGAGGGACCTCAGCGTCTGGGGTTCCCTGCATGGAGGCCAGCCCTGCCCTGCCCCAGAGGGCCCCCCAGTTGCTCACTGATGGTGAGGCTGGGCTTTTGGGGAGACTCCCTTAACAATCTTTTTGAGCATAAGATGACCCATCTTCTGGGATGCAGGGCTTGGCTGGGCACGCAGGTGAGTCAGTTGTCCAAGTGGGGCACACGCCATGGGAAGGGAAGGTGGAAAGCACACGCCCAGCTGGGCTTCAGGCTAAAGACTGAAAGCAGCGAGGGCTTCTGGGTGTCCTCTGCTTGCTTCTGCGCAGAGTCTCGTGGGACCCGTCGAGGCCACAGGGGGCAGAGAACAGAGCCATGGTTTGAGCCAGGCCCCCTCCACCCTCCTGCCAGGGACATTCACCACCTGCTCTCCACTGGTGGCTTGAGGGAGCAGACCCCACTCTGTCTGTCTGTCTCGGCCCCCCTCAGGGCGCTGTGCAGAGGTCTGGGTACCTGGTGGCTGATGTTGCGTGTTTATCTCCCTCCCTCGCAGCTGGCCCTGGACTATGGAATCAAGTTTATGGAGACCAGCGCGAAGGCCAACATCAACGTGGAGAACGTGAGTCCCAGGCCCACAGCACCGGCCCATTAGGGCTAAGGGTCGGGCCGTACCCTCCAGGGAGGCTCTGTCACAGGGACTGGTCACAGCTTCAGCTGCCTCTTGGACAGACGGCTGAGAGGCACTTCTTGGGCAGCACCGTGTGCCAGGCCTCTTGCAAGGCCCAGGGGGCCTGGGGGAACCGCCCCCATGTTCTGACATCAGCAAGTGCCAGCCCCAGCTGGGCACCTAGGACATGATCTCACTGGCTCTCACGCAGCCCTGGGGAGCAGGCGCAGTTTTGCAGGTGGGGAAACCGAGGCTCAGAGAGTCTGCACTGGCTGGCGCCCAGGCCTGCCTCCGGGTTTGTGCTTTTGTTCACACCACCCGCACAGACAGGGTCACAAGCCCATACAGAGTAGGGCACCCTGACCGAGCCTTGGCCCAGGCCTCCTTCTACTGTCCACCAGCAGCACCAGCCCTGCAGCTCACCTGCCTTGTCCTCCTTACCGCTACTCCCGTGATCTTTCCAAAATGGATCTTCCACGCCACTCCCAACCTCAGCCCCTGCGCGAGGCACAGAAGGCTCTCCCTAGCTGGTCCCAGCCGGTGTGTGCCGCCCACAGCTCAGGCCTCGCCTACCACTCTCCGTCCCTGGCCACCTGTGCCTCACCTTCCTCCAGGCCTTTGCCACAGTCCCTACGCCCCAACCTTCCCATCAGGGACCAGCCCATGTGGCCCCTTCCCGAGGAGGCCTCTGCCGTTCCCCAGGCCCTGAGGCCCACTTTAGGCACCTACAGCACCCCAAGACACCCTCCGCGACAGAACTTTCCACGTCACATGGGTGTTTGCTAAGACTCTGCTTCTTGCCGAACCAGGAGCCCCTCGACTGCAAATGCTGAGGCCAACTCATCTCTGTATAAGGCCCGGAGTAGGGTTGGTGCCAGAGTGGGGTTTATAATTGTTGTCCAGGTTGGGGAAGGGAAGAAACGGTCAGGAGCCTGTGACAGAGGCAGCAGCCTGGGATCAGGCCTTCGCCAACCCTTGGAAGATGAACCTTTCACCCTACCTACCAGGCCTTCTTACTGGGCGAGGACCCAGAATGAAGCTCGTTTGGCCAAGGAGCCACTTGTCTCTCTGCCCTGCCCCTGACTGTTAGAAGCGGGGCAAAGTGGGCAGATAGAACACAGGGGTCAGGGACGGAGAGCTCGATCGGTCAGTTAGCCACTGAGTACCTTGAGACAAGTCACTTGGGCACCCCCCTCTCCAAGCCTCAGCGTCCTCTCTGACCAGCCAAGGGTGATCCCACCTTCCAGAGTCATTGGTTTAGGGGAAGTGGTCCAGGTGGGTGGGGGTATCCCTGTAGGGGCAGGAGATGGGGCTGAACAGGTGAGACCCATGCCCAGGTCTCTGTCCTAACACTGTTCCCCCCACTGGCCCTGCTGTTGAGCCACACCCTCTGTGTGGCAGCATCCAGGAACCAGCAGGCCCCCCACCTGCTTCCCACTCCTGGGCTACTAACTACGTGCTTATTCTACAGGCATTTTTCACTCTCGCCAGAGACATCAAAGCAAAAATGGATAAAAAATTGGTGAGTGTGTGTCCTCCCCGGATCCCCACATGCATCCCTGTTGGAGCTGGCTGGCATCGCTCTCAGTGGTGTGATGCATCCCCGAGCAGATCCTGCTTCTTAGGGCCCAGGTGCACCTAGTAGGGCATCTCTAGGAAGGGGGGGTAGAGTTATCAGGTGTGGTGGGGACATCCACCCTGAACGTGCCTCTCAACTTTATCTTTCCTCCGTGGCCCAGAGCTGCTCAGTACCAGGCGCTGCTCACTAAGCACACAAGCTAGCTGGAGACACCGGACCCTTTCTGTCCCTCTTGGGAGCCAAGCATGCATGAAGGTAGAGGGCCTCCTGCAGAAAAGCCCCCCAGGCAGGCCCAGAACCACAGTCCACCCCGTAACAAGGCCCCCAAGCAAGGCTTGTGTCTGACAGCTGCCGGCTTTCCATCCTGATGAGTCCAGCAGGTCGATAGCCTTTTTCTTCCTTCCAGCCCGAAATTCTGCAGGTTGTGACAACCTTCAGTGGGTGCTGGGGCCCTGCCTGAATCCCTCCGCATCCACCCTTTCATTCATTTCTAGCTTTTCTGTTTACCACATGAGCAGTTTCACAGTCCCCAGCATTCAGCATAACTAGTGCTTTCTTGGTAGCGTCTGAACGCTGAACTATATTTTGGGCATGTTAGCGGCTAAACGCTGTCGTGAGTCTTACTCCAAAGCCTCTGTTCCAGTGACCACTCTTCCCGCCAAGTGATGCTCCCTGTTGTCTGATACGAGACCATAAAGCACTCTATTTGTGACCTGTTCTATGTCTGTGCATATAGGACTGCTCACACAATACAAAACACCATTCAAGTAGTTCACATCTGACTTAAAATGAATGTCATTTTCATAATTCTAAGATGCTGTGAATTGAATTGCAAGGCACACAATCAATTTAGTAGCAGCTGTTTAGCCAAAACAGAAAAGAGTCTGTAAAAACCACTGTACTTTTAGAAAAATTTTCTTAAAATTGTAATTTTCTTAGAATTCTTTCCTCTTCAATATAACAGGAAAATTTTGATTTTTAAGGATCCTACTGACTCACTCATGCCCACCAGGAGTTACACGGAGCCCCACGGCAACACTTTGCCTGTGCTATTGATACCAGCCTGTTGATTGCCTCCAGAATGTGCCATATCCTTCCAAGGCATAGATTGTGAAGTGCTGATGTTCACCATAATCCTTGCAGTTTCTCTTTTTTTCTTAACTAAGTTGCAAATCACCAACAGTTAAATTCTATTCATTTCCTACCACCTTTGTTTATGTTCAGAGTTGCAACCCCATACCACTTCTATCAGTCTTTTTTTTTTTTTTAATGTAATTGACATAAGACATTGTGTAAATTTGGCACCGTGTAGGCATTCAGCAGTTACTGTTGAATAAATTCAGGTTTTATCTGAGAGCTGAAAGATGAGAAGGAATTAGTCAAAGAAACAGGGCTGAATCTTTCCAAACATGGTGATGTGAGAGAAAATAGGATTTCAGTTCCCAGGGCGACAGCACTGATGGATTTTCAACAGGGCTTGAGTTTAGGGCTTACCTCACCTGCAGCAGGGTGGAGGGTGAACTGTGGTGAAAGGTGGGGAGCCAGAGCCTTGGCACAGGGGCAGGGAGAGCAGCCGGGTGAGTGAGTGGCACTGGGACCTTGAACCCAGCCACTCCAAATCCCAAGAGAGAGTACCTTTCTGCTGCCCTCAGCTGCCTCGCTGATAGGTGCTCAGCACAGAGGGGTAGATGGATGGGAAGGAGGGAGGGGTGGGTGAATGGAAAGAAGGAAATAGGGAAA